GAAGCACATGGACATTCTTTATTTCTCCCCTCAACTGCATAAGTCGCACCTTTGCCCATAGCAACACTGCCCCAATTCCCAGACCACCAAGAGGACCCTGAGGACCCTAAGGACCCCCACAGCCTGGTGCCCTCACAGTGTCTCCCCACAGTGCCTCCTGCCCCCAGAGGCCCCTCAGTAGCTCACCGGCCCTCAGCTGCTATCCCAATAGCTCCAGCGGAGAGCCTGAGGCCCTGAAGGCTGGAGGCTGCTGCCGGCAGGCAGAGTCCTCGGAACTGGGGGGGGGGGGTGCACGCTCTCTCCTCCTTGCTCCTTCTGACTTGTCGCTGGCGGTGGCCCTGCATCTTTGATACAGAGATTCTGTCTTCAAACTAATAAGTTTCAGTACGGCATGATGGCACATGTCAGATCAGGCGAGGCGGGCAGCGACCAAAGGAGGCAGATTTAAAAGGGCCGCTGAACGAGGCTTTATTGAGATATCACTCCCAGGCGGAACTCGATCGGACCCACAGAGGGGACAGAAGAAAGGTCTGAGGAGAAACCGCGTGGAAGCTCGACTGGACTGGACTTTTATGGGGTTTACAGCAGGAAGGGAAGGGCTTGGGACAGGAAAAGGTGTTTTTAGGTTCCCTTGACCCTTTGGAGTTGGTCAGGGGAGTTGGCTGAACTCCAGGATTGGCCAGGGGGTCCTGCTGATTGACAGGTATTAGTCAGGAGATCTGGCTGTTGATAGGTATTTCTGCCGACATCTGATTGATGTTCTTTTCCCACGTGGGCTGCTTTGTTCTAAGTTGCCACTAAGTGGCCACCAACAACCTAACAGCACACATCTATAATCCCAGAGACTCAGGAGCTGAGACAGGAGAATCACAAGTTTGAGAAGAGTCTCAGCAATTTAGTGAGACCCTAAGCAACATAGTGAGACCTTGTGTCAAAAAGGGTCAGGAAGCAGGTTGTAGTGGCTCATGTCTATAATCCCAGTAACTTTGGAGGCTGAGGTAGGAGGATTGAAGCAATTTAGAGAGACCCTAAGAAATGTAGATACTCAAATGAAAGAAAGAAAGCAGGCAGGCTGGGGATATGGTTCAGTGGTTACGCAGCCCTGGGTTCAATCACCAGTGCCAAAAGAAAAAAAAAGTTCCTTTTGTAAGTGGAGGTTAGCTCTGCCTCACATTTTCTGTTAATTTTTTCAGATTTGAAGATGAAGGCTGGGATCTTATCATCTCCTCTGAGGAGGGACTTCTTCAAGCAGGCAGGAGTGACCAGTTGGATTTGGAGCTGCCTCCCCGATCTGAGTAGCAGGCCTGAGGATGGGTCGGATACATCCATCCTGCTGTGGGCCTCCCCAGGGTCCCTGCAGGAAGTGCATGTTGGCAGGCCTTCCAGGAGCCCTGCCAGGATGCAGGGAGGCTACAGGTGCGCCTGCGGCAAGGTGTTCAGATACAACTCGCTGCTGGGGGGGTGGGGGAGGCTGTACCAGTGCAGGGAGCGCGAGTGTGGCAAGGCCTTCAAGCAGAGCTCCATCCTGCTGCGCCACCAGCAGATCCACATGGAGGAGAAGCGTTTCCAGTGCAGCGAGTGCAGGAAGTCCTTCCACAGAGCGCGCAGCTGGAGGCCCACTGCCGTGTGTGCGAGAGGGACCAGTCCTTCCAGTGCGGTAGCACCAGAAGTTCCACACTGAAAGAAGGCCTTCTGCGGCCACTTCACCCTCAGTGAGCACCGCCACATCCATAGGGGCGAGTGGCCCTATGAGTGCCCAAGCTGTGGCCAGTGCTTTGTGAAAGAAAAGTGACCACAACACTCAGAGCAACCAAGAGATCTTTATTGCAGCAGTGCAACAGAGAAGAGAGAGGAAGAGAAAGAGAGAGAGAGAGCGCACACGTGCAAAGGAGACAGAGCAAGAGAAGAGAGAGAGGGGCCCGGCAGGAGGGAGTTTTTATAGCCCAAATCTAATGGGGTCTCTGGGTCTGCAAGCTGCCTTGTTGGCACACAAGGGGGTTAAGTGCTCGGCCTTGAGCAGGGGGTTGAGTGTTCAGCTTTGAGCAGGGGGGCGAAGCGCTCAGCCTTGAGAGGGGGCTTGGGCGTTTGGGCTTGAAGCAAACAGGTGATACAGAACCAGACAGAGGGTTTGAGTGGCCAGGTCATCCTGCAGCTAACTTTGTTTGGCATGCCCTGCAGACAACTTACTCAGCCTGTCCTGCACCTAACACTTTGTCCGTGGGTCCTCACTCCTAAAACACCACTGGCTGAACGTGGAGGAGGGCGCCCGGCAAAGTGGCCTGCACCTTGCACGCCCGCAGAGGCCAAGCTAAAGTGTGCTGAGTGCTGAAGACCCTACCTGTCAGGTTTCTGACTAAAAGGCTCAGGGGTCACTCCAGTTGAGCTGGGCTAACTTGGCTGCACAAAATAACCACACAAGAGACACAATACCTTTTTCTTTGGGGTCGCTGTGACGGCTCCTCTGACCTTAAGTGTACGCAGGAAGAGAGAGAGCCATAGCACACACTGACCCCTTTTATTGAGAAGTTATTTAAATGAGGCAAGGGGTCAGGTTTCAGGGGGCTGAGTCTATCTTCATGATGTCCACTGTCAGCAGGTTGACTGACACCTCGGTAGGCCACACCCAAGGGCACAGTAAGAGAAGGGGACACATACAAGACACTTCCATGGAAGATTCTACCCTAAACAGGGCAAGGGGTTATATTACAAAGGGACGGTGAGCATAGCTTCACCCATGGGGCTGTAGCAAGACACACCCATGCACCAGACACCAACCCTCGAATCCAAGAAGGGTGAGGAAAGCTCTGCTAAATTTCTGTGACTGAGCGCCTCAGCACCCAGCCGGGGAATGACTCAGTCATGTGTGAGGTTGGTCTCCTACACCTACCAACACCACTCACTGCTCATCCTGCACCTGCGGTGCACACCAGCGAGCGGCCCTTCACGTGGGCAGTGTGGCAATGCCTTCGGCTGCAAGTCCAACCTTACCCCACACCAGAAGATCCATACGCAAGAGAAAGCCCTTCACGGAGGCATTCCGCAGGAGCTACACACTGAGCAAGCATTACCAGCGGCATGGTGGCCCACTCTGGGTAAGCACCCAGAACCCCTGCTGACAACGCCAGGACAGCAGGGACTTGGCCAGGGTCTCCTCAGCAGCTTGGGAATAGGTTGGGGGGTGAGGCACAGTTGCAGGACCTTGTGGGACTGAAGGCTGGTGGAGCAAGGCTGCCTCTCCAGCCATCCCCAACAGACCTAGTGGGGATTGTGGGTGAAGTATTTATTTTTAAAGTCATTTATTTTCCAAACATTAACTTCTGATCAGAAAGAAAAATGATAGGTTGAGTTTTTCCGGCTGTTTATCTAAGATTGGCCAAGATGTGACCCTGCTTCAAGGGGCAGGAGAGTGAGCCAAGACTTGAGGTAGGGTCTGCTAGCTCCCCTAGCCTGAACCAGGGAGTGAAGCCCCAGGCCAGCCTCAGGAATGCCAAGCTGGATGTGGCTGCAGAAGGACCTGGCTGGGGAGAAGCCTGCCCACAAGCCCTAAAATCTCAGGGAAGAAGTCCCTGAGGGCCAACTGGCATATGAAGTCCTAGGGAGCCCTCCTCACCAGCCCACTCATCCCAGGAACCCCAGGAACTCTGATAGGCTGTCTTGGCCTATGAAAATCACTAGAAGAAAGAACTGCTAGCCTGGAACCAAGTTGAAGGCTTGAGAACCCGTATTTATAAATTAACATGGTTTTTCTTTTATTCATTTATGTATTTGTTTGTTTATTTATTTATTTATTTTTAGTTGTTGATAGTCCTTTATTTTACGAATAGAACCCAGTGCCTCACACATGCTAGGCAAGTGTGCTACCACTGAGCCACAGCTCTTAACATGGTTTTTCCAAACATAATGTTATCGTAGAACATTTGGAAAATGTCAAATTTTACATTAAAAAAAAAAAAAAGTATGGTGGCACAACCTATAATCCCACCAACTGGGGAGGCTGAGCCAGGAGGATCAAAAGTTAAAGGCCAGCCTCAGCAAGACCCTTTCTCAAAATAAAAATAAAAAGGACTGGGGATGTGACTCAGTGATCTAGTGCCTCCAGGTTCAACCCCCAGTACTAAAATAAATAAATGAATAAATACATGAAACTTTCCTTTATCCCACTGTTTTAGTTAGCTTTTTTGCTGCTGTAACTAAAGGATCTGACCAGAACAACTACAGAGGAGGAAAAATTTATTTGAGAGCTCATGGTTCCGGAGGTCTTAGCCCACTGAAGGCCAGCTCCATTTTTCAGGGCTCAAGGTGAGGTTGAACATCATAGCAGGAGAGTGTGGCAGAGGGAAGCAGCTCACATCATGTGACCAGGAAGCAGAGAGACTCACTCTCCAGATACAAATATGTACACTAAAGCCATGTCCCAATTCCCGCCTCCTCCATCCATACCCCATGACTTCAGTTAATCACTGATTAGGCTTATAACCCGATCATTTCTCCCTCCAAACTCTCTTGCATTGTCTCACATGTCAGCTTTCAGGGGACAGCTCACATCCAAATGAAAACACTCGCCTCCAGAGATAGCAACTATTGATGTTTTGGTGTGTTTTCAGTGTCTTTCTAATGCTAGTGTGTACAGACACTTATTTGAAGAATTGGGGTTACATTCTTCTTAGAATTTTTATCTACTCATTGGGTAACAATCCCTGTGTACCTTTGCTCTTTAGTGTGAAACATGATTTATTTAACAGCTGTCTTATTTTTAGACATCTTTTCCATGTTTCATGATAATAGTTGACTTCACATGGCACATGTCTGCAGTTTCCTAGGGGTTGAATCTGACTTTATCAATAGTGCTGGGGACAGGGAGGCACTTTTGAAATTATTTTCATTAGGGGCTGGGGATGTGGCTCAAGCAGTAGCGCACTCGCCTGGCATGCGTGCAGCCCGGGTTCCATCCTCAACACCACATACAAACAAAGATGTTGTGTCCGCCGAAAACTAAAAAATAAATATTAAAAAAAATTATTTTCATTAATCATGAAAAATGTCACTATTTGCTTTTTTTTTTTTTTATAGCAGGGATTTAACTCAGGGGCACTCAACCACTGAGCCACATCCCCAGCCCTATTTTGTATTTTATTTAGAGACAGGGTTTCACTGAGTTGCTTAGTGCCTTGTTCTTGCTGAGGCTGGTTTGAACTTGCAATCCACCTGCTTCAGCCTCCGAGCTGCTGGATTTTCAGCAGTTGAGTCTGTTACAATGGTTTTGCTCCCACCATGCAAGGTAGAACACATGGACAGAACTCTATGGGTGCCTGTGCATAGAAAATGTTTTTTCTAACAAGATATCTGGGTACCATCTGTCCTTCAACCAGAAACCAGGGGTAAATTTCTGCCCTGGGCCATATTCTGCCATCTCCTTTCTGCCCTGACCACTCCTGATCCTTCCCAGTTGGCCCTGTGTGGCATGCCCTGCTTCTTGTTTCTAGGGACTTGTGTCCATAAACCAAATTCTTTCATTACATCCATTTCTGTGTGTGTGTCTTATCACACCTGATTTAAAAAAAGCCCTAGTACATTTTAATCACTGTGAGACTTGAGTGGGTCCAGGAGAGTACTAGCCTTGTTAGAGTGCCCCATCTGTCCTTGCCTGTTTAAAGTTGCATAGCTCTGGCTTGTCTGTCAGGATACCAATGTGCTCCTGGAGATACAGCATCTCTTTGAAAATAGCTTTTTAGTCGGGATGTTTCCGGAAACATTTACAGCTTGGAACCCTGCTGAAACAAAGGCTGGAGACACCTCAAGGGCAATATAGGGGGATTCCCACAAGGGAGTGCCCTAAACCATCCCAAGTTGAGATTTCAAGTTAAGAAGTACTAATTCTTCAGCACTTACTAGGGGAACTTACAGGGCCCAGCTTCCTAGAGACCAGATAGGTTCTACCAAAGTTTGTCTGCAAGGAGGGGGGTCTGGCTACGGAGTTTAGAAGAGGGCTTCAGGGATTTAGTTCAAGTCTGGGGCTAGTTCCTACCTGTTTAGGAACAGAGTTATCTCCCAGTATATTTGAGGAACAACTTAAGCAGCTTTATGGGTGCCTAGGAACATCCAAGGTCCCGACTTGGATTCAGACCTACAGGGAAAACAGCTGGCCAAATCCTAAGTCAAGGCACTCTGTGTCACTCAGGAAACAAAAAGAACTCAGGGAGAACCAGGGGCCCTAAAACCCCAAGCCCAGATGGATCCAAGGGAAAGTGATCCGGGCTGGCCCAGAGAACAATGTAACCCTGCAAGGGTCTCTGATAGCTCAGTAGAACCACGGCTCAGCAAAAAGCAGTGTGGAGGCCCTGGAGCGTCCTGCAGTGGATACAGAGGTAAGAGGCAGCCCCCTTCCCCACCTCCAAATAGAACCTTCAGGGCCTCAGTGCCCTATCACCTGAACACTGGGCTGGTGCCCACCCTGTGGACATCCTAAGTCAGGCTCTCTATAGACCCATGTGTCAGCTCCCCCTCGCACTCCTTGTGTTATCCTGGGTGTGCCCTGCTTACAGGAGCAGGCCAGGTTGGGGTACAGGGTTGCCAAGCCCCATCAGTTCAGGACCCTGAATTATGAAACTTGCTCTGTCATGTAGGCCAGAGACGCCAATGTGCCTGGTTGGATCTAAGGTTCTGTGAAGGCATCAGGGCACTGGGGCAGTGCTTCCTTGTCTGGCATGAGAGCTGCTGGAGGCTCAAGGCAGGAGTACACTGCTTTCTTGGGGCTTGGAGAGGAACTAGAACATTCTCTTACCGGGACTCCCTGCAGGGGGCTGAGTCCAGAGGGATCTGGATTTGGATCGGGCACTGGTCGGTGTGAGGCGAGTTTGAGTGCCCTAATCACTGATGGGAGCCTGGAGTCAGCCCAAGGTCAAGCAGAGTCCACCACTGCCTGGAATGGGGAGGCATGCAGGTTCAGCCAGACGGTGCCTCAAGCTCCCTGAGTATCCCAAGAAAGGCTGATACTGGGAGCTACCCGTGGCGGGGGTGCGGGCGACCCAGAGGATAGCAGAGAGTGGATCTCAGCGCTCCCGCAACAGCACAAGTGACGGGGTTTCGCGTGAAGCCAGGGAGACCCCGCTCAGCAAGAGGACGCCCTGGCCTGAGCTGGCGGCTCGGTCCGAGAGAGCAAGGGGGACGCCGCCTTCCTTATGGGGGGCTTACCACGTGTTCCAGCGCTCCCTGACGCTGCGGCGGCATTCAACAAGAAACAGGCTCCTGTTGCCCCCAAGCGGTCTTGCCCACGCCCCGGAGCTGGCGACGGCCTCACCCTGAACCGAGACGTCTGCGCGGCGCCGGCGTGCCGACCGGGGTTTTCTGCTAATGAAAAGCTGACCGACTGCGCCCTGACAGGGCCGGCGTGGGGAACCAGCGCCCGAGACTGACCACAGGAGGTGCGCCCGGTCGAGGCGACTCCTCTCCCGGGGTGCGCTCAGCTTGCGAGAAATTGGGGCCGGAGCCCCGGAGCCACGATCCAGGGCGCGCGGAGATGCCCGGCCCCGCCCCGATTCCACTCGCGCCCGGAGTCCAGCCACGCCCTCCTCGGACCCTGGCCCCGCCCTCCGGCTCCTGGCCCTGCCCACCGCCCTTGTGTCTGGCCCCGCCCACTATGGTTTTCATTCACGCCCTCCTCTTACCCAGGCGTCTCTCAGGCTCCTGGCCCCGCCACGCCTTCCCCACGGTCCAGTCCAGACAGGTTCCTGTCCCGCCCTCCCGGTAAGCGACACCCCCGTGGCCCCTGTCCCGCCCGCCACAGACCCTAGCCTATTCCTCGAGCTCCTGGCCCAGCTCTTGGGCCTACTCTAAACCGCGCTACAATTTGCCTCTCCTTCGGGCTCCGGCTCCGCCCCTTCCTCCCAAACCCGGGAGGCGGGGCTGGGAACCACCGAGACGGCCGAACCTCCGAGCGGACCAGAACGGCCGGAAGTGGGCGGGGTGCGTGAGTGAGGCCCGTTTCTGGCGGCGTCGCGCGTTTACGGGCCTTGGGCTGGCCTCCGGTAGGGTGAGTCGGTGCGGCGCGCTGGGTTGGCCTCTACTTAGGGAAGCCTGGGCTGCTTACAGAGGCGGTGAACGCTGGGCGGAGGACATGGTCGGGCAGCGGCCGCCCTGGACTCCGTCGGCGAGAGGCGGCAGTGGAGCGTGTGAACCCCGCAGCTACCCCCAGGTTGCTCGCGGACTCCGGCGTCCTGCCTGAGTAAGGCGAGCCCTAACTGCGCTTTCCCTCCCGCCCTGGGCTGCTCCGGAGTTCTCCCTGGTTTTCCTGCATAATCACTTCTTCTAGGGTCCCGTCTTTTCCTCTCACTTTCTGCTCCTGCAGGGCTTCGAATCGGTGACAGTGGCATCAACATTGGTGCCACTGATGTTGGGTGGGTTAGACTGTCTTCGAGTCTGGACCCCCATTCAAGGCCTTCCTTTCTCTTACTCTTCCAGCCCTGGCAGCAGCACCCTAAATGTCCAGGCTCCAAAGGAGCATCGCCCTCCAGTGGTCACTACTGCCGGGGTCGTGCTCCCTGTCCCATTGGCCTGGGGCCACTTTCTTGGCCAAAAGCTCCTCTAAGAAGCACTTCCCATTCTGACCTCTCACGGGACTTCCTGAGGTGTTAGCTACATCAGTAACTTCTGGGGCTGGTGCCATCCTGGTGACAGATGCTAGCCATAGCTGATCCCTGGATGGAGTTTATGTACTTGGAGCATGCTTCCTGCATTTGATCCTATCTTCCCTGCAGTACATCATCCTGTCTTGTATCTATTTCAACCTGCAGTTGCTGCATGCCTGCTGCCTGTGATCTACCCTCACTGGCTCCTTCAATCTTATTCTTAATTGCCTCAGGCCCTTTGCACATGATGTTCATACTGCCGGGAGTGTTCTCCCCACCACAGTCACCTTGGCCTAGATCCCTGAAGAAGTGACCCTTTAGACTAAATGATTTGTTTTGTTTTGTTTTATTTTGGTACTGGGGATTTAACCCAGGAGCACTTTACTACTGTGCCACTTCCACAGTCCTTTTTATTTTTCATTTTGAATCAGGGTCTCACCAAATTGCTAAGGACGTTGTTAAGTTGCTGAGGCTGGCCTCAGACTTTCAATCCTGCTGTCTTAGCTTCCTGAGTCACTGGGATTATAGGCATGTGCCACTGCACTCAGCCTAAATCAGTTTTCCAGTTAAAGGTTTTCATAGTTCCCCATATCAGCACTACCACGATTATGATTTTTTGGTTATTTTGTTCCTTCCTCCACTAGCCTGGTCCATGAAGGTAGGATTATTGTGCATTCACCACTGCCTCCCCTTTGCCTATTTGAGTGTGTGGTACATGCCAGCCACTCCTGTGTGGACTGATTGACATCATACACAAACACATTGAAAGATGCATAAGGCTTCAGGGGCCACATACTTAAGCATCAGGGTTGCTTCGACCCAACTCATGTGCCTGCTGTGCAGGAAATACAGTACCGCCTTGATTTTCTTAGGCGTTAAGGAACTTCTACCACCCTGACCTCTAACCCTTTCATAATTCCCTGCAGGTGTCCCAGCCAAGACCAGTGGACACCATCCATCAAGCCTCATGGTAGGAAGCTTGGCTGCCTCCATTCCCACACTTGCTCTGGGAAGCCTCTACCTCCTACTTTGGGCATCTACCCTGCTTCCTGGGCCTGGATGCAGACCCAGACCCACCCTCAGCCCTCACTGGCTCTTGCCAGACTCAGGCACCCCCCTTGGCACCCCAAAGGCAGTGAGCAAACCTCTGCCAGATCGGCCTATCTGAGGCTTGTGAGAGGGAGGGTCATATGGTTACCAAGAGCCAGGTCCCTCCTCTCCTCTTAAACTTCCCTTTCCTCTGATTTTGGAGGAAGGAGCTGGGCAACTCTTGCCCAACCCCTTGGTACACCTGCCTGAGATATGCTGTGATGCCGTGCAAGAATGGGGCTGGCACCCAGGGATCCCTGGGGTGCTGGTATTTGTCCTTTCAGGAGGCGGTGACATTTGGTGACGTGGCTGTGCACTTCTCCCGGGAGGAGTGGCAGTGTTTGGACTCTGGCCAGAAGGCCCTCTACAGGGAGGTGATGCTGGAGAACCACAGCAGCGTGGCCGGACTAGGTGAGGTGGCACCTTGGTCCCCCTCCCTTGCACAGTCAGTCAGCACCCACACAGCCAGCCAGGCCTGCATCAGATGTGGGGGAGGCTGAGTGCTCAGACTGTCTTGGGCCAAATAGGGGCCTCAAACCTGTGCTAGGCTGGTTCCAGACTTTGCACATATCAGGTGACTCGGCCCTCACTGGGTAGGTGAAATTCTGAGAGTTAATAAAGCCTCTTTTTTCTTAAGCTACTAAATTAATGTTTGTTTTTCTTTTTTGGTACTGGAGATTGAATGCATGGCACTTTACAGCTGAGCTATATCCCCAGCCCTTTTTATTTTTTGAGACAGAATCTCACTAAGTTGCTGAGGGCTTCACCTAAGTTTCTGAGGTTGGCCTCAAACTTGTGATCTGTCTGCCTCAGCCTCCTGAGTCGATGGGATTGCAGCCATGTGCCACTATGACTGGCCAGAATAAATTTTTTGAAGACAGTGTACAGAGCAGATAATGCAGCTTGTGTGGGCAGCAGTGGCATGTCACATCTATTACCAGTTGCTGGAAGACTTCTGATTTCAATTCTAAGATGTCCCTGAGGTTTAGAGGTGTGAAAGCATTTTATACAAAGTCTATCTTACAGTATATCAAGGGTGAACACCACACCGATTCACATTGTACCTTTACCCTTCTCTCATGTTTGGTAACGCTGGTTAGTTTTTTGTTTTTTGTTTTTTTCAGTACTGGGGATTGAGCCTGCCAGGGCTTCATGCCTTCTAGGTGAGCATTCTGCCACTGAGCTGCATTCCCAGCCTTGTCACATTTTCACATAATGTACTTTGGGTTTTGTCTTATAGCTTATGCCTTTGAGGTTTTATTAGTTATTCCCTACTTCAAACTTTTTGAAATGGCCTACATTTTCTCCTGTGAATTTTATAGCTTATCTTCCTTATTAATATCAAGGCTTCACCATTGTGTTGGAGTTAAGGAAAAATCCTGTTTTATTTTTGTCTGAGCATTGAAACATTTCCCCAACATGATTTGCTGACAACCTCCTTTTCCTGTTGATGGTCTTAAAATATGAAGTAGTGTATTTCTGCGCTATTCTTTTCTGAGAGTCTGTGGGCCAGCTTCCTGCTTGGTTTGTTTCTGTTTCGTTGCTTTGGTTTTTGGAACACTTCAGCCTCCCAAGTGACTGGGGCTGAAGGTGCATCATCGCTTCTGGCTAGTATGTGCTAATATCTGGAGGGCAACTCGCCCTTTTTATTTTGGGGGGATGTCAAGCACTAGCCATGCTCCTAGCATCTCCTTCTCTGACCACACACAGCAGGATTCCTGGTCTTCAAACCTGAGCTGATCTCTCGGTTGGAACAGGGACAAGAGCCATGGGTTATCGACCTGCAGGGAGTTGAGGGGACAGAAGCACCATGGACCTCCCAGACAGGTGAGGTATAGGTCCTGTAGCAGAGAGCCTTTGGGAAGGAGTAGCCTTCCCAAAAGTGGGAACTAGAGAAGTGGGAGGTTGGGGTGAATCCCAAGGGCTTGACTGGGCTGCTGGGGGTGGCATAGGCAAGGACAGGGGTGGAAGGAAGCACAACAGGTCTGGGACTTCCCTGTAATGGCAAGAACACAAAACACCTGTGCATTCAGTAAAAAGTTTGTTTTTTGAAATTGTACACATTTTGTTCAGTTTCTAATTTTACTAATATACCTATCGAGAAAGGCACAAATCTGTGGATCTGAGGAAGCATTAAACTTTGCTTTCCACTTCCTCTACTCAAACAAATTGCCCCTGCTGCTGTCTCTGGAACTTCTTGGGGCCTGGGGAACCAAGCCCTCAGATCAGACCCTGGTGCACTGGCCTCCTGCAGCTGCTGCAGCAAAGTAACACAAATCAACAACAAATGTCTCACTGTGGAGCCCAGAAGTCTGCAGGGCTTGGCCCTTGTTACCTTTTCCAGGATTGGGGACTTCATGCAGTTGTTGGTGTTCCTTGGCTTGTAGATGTGCCATTCCAGACCCTGCCTCCTTCACTTGGCAGCCTTCTTATTGTTTGTCTGTCCTATGTAGCCAGTTCCTTATAAGAACACCATTGTTATTGGATTAGGGGCCGCCTGACATCCTCATGTTAAATTACTATGGGTGCAGCAACCTATTTCCATGTTCCCCTCTGCCCCTCCTGCAAAGGTTCCTTCTGATCCTCCCCGGGGAGGAGACAAAGCTGGAGGGTGGCCAGTTAAAACCAAGCCTCCGAGTAAGGTGCCTGCATGGTGGAGGAAGGTTGTGGAGAGCACAATGTGGCAGAAAAGCCAGCTGCAGTGGGCAGAGTACGACAGCTTGATAGGTTTATGTGCAGCAAGTTGTACCCATAAGGGGATGAAGCAAACACAGGGTAACCCATAGTGGTCTCAGGACAAGATTGTGGGCCCTAGAGTACGGTATACAGGAGCACACAACCAGAGGCATGGAGTAAAGGAAATGCTCAGGCAAGTTCTTTGTCCCCGACTGG